CGCTGCTGCTGATTGCGCAGACAGTCTCACGACCCACGGGCTCAGGCAATGCAGCTTGCGACGCGATGGTTTCCTGCATTCAGATATCGCAGCTCGCGGTGGCAACCAGTCGGGCCAACGTGAGCCCAGCAAGGCTTGTGGGTTGCGTTCGTGAGTGTTTAGATTCGTTTGCTGCTTCTTTTGGGTTTGAATGGTGAACGCCGAAATGCCGCTGGCTTCTCCGCCGCCCCGAGGTTCCCCAGAAAAAACAAGCGGCGATTGAGCTGTTTTTGCTTTGAGCTGAAGCGTGGGATGCCAAATAAGCGCGCAATTGAATTGGCCAACATTTCGGGGCCAGGCAGCATGTCGTTGCTGGGCGAGCGCGTTGCCCATCGCCTTTCTGCGATCACGAGCCGCAGCTTTGATTGCGACGTTAGCTTGGCGCAGGGGCGCAGAGCGCCCGAGAGAAGCAGGCGGCTGATAATGGGCGCATTGGGACTGGAAGGCGGCGATCCCCCAGTTGACGTTGGCAGCGATGCTCGCTTCAGCCAGCTCGGCTTATGCAGTCGGGGGGGCGCTGTGCTATTGAATGGCGCCGATGGCACGCTGGCCGCCCGCGCGAGGCTTCATTGCGATGTCGGTGGAGAAGCTGTGTCTATGATGGAGGTTATGGAGCTGCGCCAGCGCGCCCACGGGACATCAGCGGCAGCGTGGAAAAAATGCAGATTCTCCAGCGGGGCGTTGGGAAACCAAAGCCATTCTGGCTGCAGTGGAGCACTGCGCATGCCCAGACGGAACCGCCGGCGCCATCTTGCCGCTCGAATTTTCGCGGGCATGAGATTCGCTCGCGCGTTGCACCCAAAAGAAAAACAACCTTTCGCACGCGCTTCGGGCCGCCCCGCCGCACAGCCCAACCAGAGACGCCGCCCGCGCGAACGCGCGCGCCCAAGCCATCGCGGCCGAAGGCAAAGAACGCGAGGGGGAGGAGGAGAAAGGAGGAGGGGCGAAGGCTCGTGCACCCGGCGTGTCTTCCTCCTCCTCCTCCTCCTCCTTCTCCTCCTCCTCCTTCTCCTCCTCGTTCTCCTCCTCCTCCGTCTCCTTTCCCTTCTCCCCCGCCGCCCCCCCCCTCCCTCCTCGCGCCCGGCGACCAACCCATTAAATTCACTCGACAAAACCGCGGGGGCGCGACGACGACGACGAAGGCGACAGATGGCGAGGCCGAAGGCGACGGCGACGACGGCGGCGTCGGCGGCAAGCTGACGCAATAGCTCCGCGGGCGCCTGGTCGCGAGAGTTGCAGAGCTCACGCAATAGCTCCGCGGGCCCATTGCCGCGAGAGCTGGAGGAGGGGGTGGGCGGAGGAGGCGGCGATTGCGATCGCTCGGGCGAGGGGCAAGAGGATGGGGGAGGCAGCAATGGCGATCGCTTGGGCGAGGGATGAGGGGGAGGAGGAATAGGAGGAGGAGGAGGAGGAGGAGATGGAAGAAGAGGAGGTGTGAGTTTACTTGATCAAGGATCGGGGTGGGTGGAGCACCGGGCAGGGGCGCGATGATTTCTGACGCGCCGACGACCGCGTTTTATGCGAAGCTGCAGAAGCACGCGCGCTGTTCGGAGCGCGCGCGCCGACATGCGCGGCCACTTGTAGTTTATAGTTGGGGCGGGGTCAGCGTCTATAAAATTTGTATGTCCGTTGTTGCTAAACCTCCGGCTAACCTTATATGTTCGCTAAACTGTAGCTATACCTTATAAGCCTTAGCATGCCCACGATGCATCTCAGCACCCGCATAAACGGGGGTATACTACTCAGGCGACCTACACGCCACTGCCAAGAACCCCTGCGATTTGTCGTGCTACAGCCCTGCCTTCCCACTCGGGCTGGCAGGGGGCATGGCCCGGAGCTCTTGGGCCGAGCTCCGAGGTGGCCCCGCAAGGGAGGCTCGCTACCTTGCATCGCGAGCCCCTTTCGGGCCAGCGCGGGGGAAACGGCTGCCAGCCCTTCCGCGCGCACGAGGAGAGGGGGCGCGCGGGCTCGGCGGGGCGCCCGAGCCGACGGGGGGGGGGGGGAGACAACGGCGCGACCTCAGAAGGAGGAGAGGGGAGAGAGACGGAAGGCCCGAGACCCCGAACTGTTTCTGTGGGCGGGGGGAGGGGGGAGGGGGAAGGGGGGGGGCTGCGTCTGCAGTTTGAATTCCGCGCCCCCCTCTCTCACTCAGCTCACTTCTCGGCCGCGCAGAGAGGTGTTCCATGCATTGTCACACGTTTACTCTGCTGGTACCCTGCTGAAGTAGCCGAAGGTTCCCCCTCGGAGTGCGCGAGGAAGAGCATGCTGCGGAGTGCGCGAGGTACAGCATGCGGGAAGTCGCTGTCATAGGTAGGGCCAGCGAGGAGCACACTGGTGGGCTTATTGATGATCACTTGTTTCCCCTTTTCGACACCCCGCAGTGGCGTACCTGATGGTACTCCAACAACAACCTCTCATTGCGATGGCGATGCAGGAGCACTGTTGTGCCCGCATTGTCCGTCATGAATTGCGCTCCGAGAAACCTCGCCAACGATCCCCCTGGCTGTCCGCGGGCACGGCCAGCTCGCAGCTCGCCTGGATTAGCACTCCGATAAGCCTCGCAAGTGCTTCCTCTCGGCAAACCAGCAGGCTCCAGTGGGTGCGCTCACTGGCGGCCGCTGGATGAGCTGGCCGCCGCCGTCTCCTCCGACTTGGGGTAGCCGAAGTTGTCCGCGAAGATCTCGGTGCCATCCAGCACGGTCTGGGTGCTGTCTTTTAGCTTCTGCCTTTCCTTCAGCCCCTTCTCTTCCTCTGGTCCATTTTGACATCCTTATTCATCTGCTTGATGGCGACCCCCATTACTTCGCAGAGGTTTTCTTCATCGTTCTTCGCAATGTCCAGCGCCAGCTCGCGCCAGCTCTGCGCAGTGAAGGCCCCCTTACCTGACCTTCCCCATTGGGCCACTGGGTACCTTGCGACGAGGTCGCAGGATGCGATCCTGCGCGTCATCGGGAAGGACCGTGGGATCTACTCGAATAGCTCCTCCTGGCTCATCTCCTTGGCCGCTTCGAAGAACTCGCAGTGGCGCTCCGCGATGGCGTCGTCGAATCGCCGCGGTATCCATTCCGCGCTGAACGCTTGACGCGTGGCCCCCACATTGACCTCCACCGCCACCGATGGCCCGCTCTTAAATGGGAAGAACTGAGTCCCGCATCCGATATTTGACCATTGTCCGCAGTCTCCACCGAACGTTTTCTTCATCTTGTCCCCCATTCCTCCGAGAGCACGCCCCTCGGGCGACCCCCCCGCGCCTTCGCCAGCGGAAACCGCAAATGCCGCCCGTCACTCCTCGGGTCGGGACTGGGGCCTCTCCGCCACAGCTTGTCCGGGAAGGCGGGCCCGCGCGAGTGAGTCCCCCCCTTTTTCGTCGCGCATGATGCCCCTCCTGCATGCGTTGAACAGCTGCATGTTGTCGCTCCACTTGTCCGCGGAGCCCAGCGCCTTGAGATGCGCCGGTTTCATCTCACCCTTGTCCTTCGCCGTCTTGTAGCCGCGCAAATCGCGCATCTCTCTCTCTCTCTCTCTCTCTCTCTTTTTTTTTCTCTCTCTCTCTCTCTCTCTCTCTCTCTATAAATATATATGTACACACACACATATATATGTGTATATATATACCCTGCCCCACCTTTTTGCGTGCGGACACGCCAATGATCAGAGTAGGCTAGACCCCCCTCAAGCCCCCCAGCTACTGTGCGCATCGGGATGCAAGGGTACCCTACGCCACGCATTTCCTAGGCGGCAAGCACGCGGCGCCTACCGCGCCGCGCGCTTGCCACCTAAGGCGTGCGAGGTGGTGCTCCACCGTTCGCATACAGCAATCTGGGGAGGGGGCCTACGCGATCTTCTGGGCTACGGCACCAGCAGAAAGCGTGCCTCAACACGGAAGGGGTGGACCGCGGGTGGGAGCCCAAACAGGCTACGGACGTGTTGGGGCGGCGTGTCCTGGCCAAAGGGGGGAAGACGGGTATACGCATACAGGGAACCAGTATACGGACATACCCTGCCCCACCTTTTTGCGTGCGGACACGCCAATGGTCAGAGTAGGCTAGACCCCCCTCAAACCCCCCAGCTACTGTACGCATCGGGATGCAAGGGTACCCTACGCCACGCATCTCCTAGGCGGCAAGCACGCGGCGCCTACCGCACCGCGCGCTTGCCACCTAAGGCGTGCGAGGTGGTGCTCCACCGTTCGCACACAGCAATCTGGGGAGGGGGCCTACGCTATCTAACACCCCCACCTACTGACCTTAAGGCTACGTAGGCCGTCCGTGTTTAACTCCCAACCCCCCCCTGAAAATGGCATATTTATGCCGGTCCTTACTCGGGGGTGTGCGGGGGGGCAAACCACAGGACTGCCTGGGAGGTCTGGACACGCCACCCGCGCCAGGCCACAGGCCTGACGCGGGGCAGGCACCGCACAGGGCGGCCCTAGACGTGCCAGACCCCCCGCCAGCAGCCCCTTGGTTTGGCCCCCCAGCACACTCCCCCACTCCACGCCCTTCTCCAGCCCTTGCCCTCCACACGGCACGGCAGCCTTCCGGGGTCCAAGGACCGTGAGGACGGTACCCAGGAGGGGGACAACACTCTGCAGCCGCCAGAGCGGCGCGGCAACGCCCAAAGGGCAGGCCGCGCAGAGCGTTATCCCCCCCCTGGGTCACCTTCTCACGGCCGCTGGGCCCCGAAAGGGTTGGCACGTTCGAGGAGGAGGCGACGGGGGGAGGCGACGGGAGGAGGTGACACGAAGCGCGAAGGAGGTGAGACGGGCGTGGACCCCAAACAGAGAACGCCCCACACAACGGGCGGGCCCAGGGGCCCCAGGAAACCAGGACCAGCGAGAGAGAGAGAGAGAGAGAGAGAGAGAGAGCCAGGCGGCCCCACGGCGGGAGGGCGGTTGCCTTCGCCGCAGCGAAGACAAACGCCCGAATTTTTGGCAAGCACTGTAGGGCGCAAGCGGTGGCCTTTTACAGTGGCCAGCTGCAGGAGCCGCAGTCCTCGCGCAACGGCGCGGGCTGCCCTGCTCCCGGGCTGGCGGGCACTGAGCTGGCCACCGCGCCCTCGATGCGCAGGCGTGCGGTGGAGAGCCGCGCACCTGCACCAAGGCCGCGGCCTGCCATCCGCAGGAGCACCGCGGCCATCCTGCCGCGGACGATGACTGCCTCCGCGCAGTCCGCGGTCTTGGACGAGCTGACGCGGACCACGAACAGCTCGTCGACGATGTCGCGGTCGACGATGTCGCTCACCGTCAGGGCGGCCGCGTCGAGAGCGCCTGCAGCGCAAGCGATCCCCGCCATGGCCGCGACGGCCTGGGTCGTGAGCAGCAGCACCCTGGGCGCTGGCCCATGCTGCCTCCATGCCCTGAGGAGAGTCCCGCTCAGGCCAGGGTGTCGCCTCAGGCGAGGCGTTGCGAAGCGCACCTCTGCCAGCGTGTTGCTGGCGGCCGCGCTGCCCGCACCAGAGGCCCGCAGGTCCGAGGTACTCCGCGACGAGGGCGTCGGCGTCCTCGGGGTCGCCGCGCAAAGCGTCCGCCCCCGCCTGCTCAGCTCCGAAGTGGGCCAGCAGGGCCCGCGGAGCCCGCCCGTAGCGCCGCCGCGTCTCCGCCGACACTGTCAGGGAAGAGAAGAGTCCTGGCAGGAAAAAAAAAAAACAATAAAGAAAAACAGCCAAAATAAAAAACGGAACAAACAAAAAAAAAAAACAAAAAAAAGAAAACAAAATAAAACAAAAACAATAAAAAGAAAAAAAAAAAAAAAAAGAAAAAAAAAAAAAAACTTATAAAAAAAACAAAGAGAAAAAAAGAAAAAGAGAAAAACAAAAAAAATAAAAATAATATGAACAAAAAAAAAACAAAAAAACAAAAACAAAAAAAAAAACAAAAAAAAAAAAATAAAGAAACAAAAGAAACAAAAACAATAAAAAACAAAAAAAGAAAAAAAAAACAAAAAAATAAGAAAAAAAAAGACAATGAAAAAAAAAAATAAAAAAAAAAAAAAGACAGATAAAAAAAAAAAGCAAAAAAAGCGCGTCCCGCGGCGCCTCACGGGCACGGGCCTGCGGTGAACGGCCGCGCGCGAGGCACGGGTCGCCCTCGCCTCCTGGGCTCCGAGCCACGCGGGGTTGTCCTCCGAGACCACGTAGCCGATCAGTGGGTACATGTCGGCCGCCACGACGACGGCCATCCGGCGCATCAGGATGGGCTGGAGCTTCCTGCTGCTGCTGCGGCCCCTCGTCACGATGGCCGCGACCACCTGGCTGTCGACGAGGTGCAAGAACCTGCTCCCGTGCTGCACGACCTTGGGGGCGCGCCACCTGATCGCCGACGTGGCCGCCTGCAGCTCTCTCACGTTTATGTGGGTGGAGTTCCGCCCGGGCCACGCCATGCTGACCACCACGCGCCACTTCCACACAAACGGGTCCAGGCTCGTCCTCAGCCAACCTCGCGGGCGGTAGGGGACGCCGTAGTCCAGCCTGACGTCCGACCCGCCCTTCTCCGTGCGGCTGAGGTAGTGCAGGACCAGCTGCCTCGCCTCCGCGGTGCCCGGCTCCCCTGGCTCCGTGACGAAGGCCCCCGCCTGGCCCCGCGTCGCCTGGCACTCGCGGACGGGGGGCACCTCTTCTATCGACAGCTCCCTGTCCAGCGCGCCGCGGCGGTGCAGGAGTTGCTGGCACAACCATGCCACGTCGTGAATACTGAAGCTGTTGCCGAGGAGGAAGGCCCTGGCGTCGAAGGCGCCCTGAGGGTTCGAGCCCTGGGTGGCTAGGGAGGTGCACCTCGGTCTCCCTGGCCAAGAGCCGCCCTCGCCCTCCCACGCGACGTCCATAAGCGGGACGCCAGGGCCCACCAGCTCGGCGTAGACCCCGCGGTCGGTCAGCCGAAGAGGCGCCGATGAGGTGACGCCCCAGCTCGTCCAGAACAGGCGCGGCCTGCGGCACGGCACGAACACCGACGAGCACACCAGCGTCGGTCTCACCTGCAGCGCCTCCGAGATCAGCTCCACGTTGACGCTGGACATGCTGGCCATGTTCTCTACGAACCAAACGAGCTTGTCCCTGAAGACGGCGGCGAGGAGAGCCAGGATGCGCGGCACCTCGTGGAACAGCGAGGACTCCCTACCGCTGAGGCCGCGCCCGCCGACGTCGAGGCGTGACAGGTGATGGCAGGGGCTGCCCGCAGCGACCGCCACGGGGTCGACGAGGCCGCCGAACCCCTCGAACAGGTCCCGCACCGTCTCGCTGCCCACGCGGGTGACGTCGCCCCAGCCGATGACACCTGGCCAGCGGAGCCTGACAACGCGCCTCGCCTTGGCGTCCGTCTCGGCCGCGACGTAGGCCGCGATGCGGAAGGGCAGCCTCGAGAAGGCGACGGCGAGGCCTCCGATGCCGTCGAACAGGCCGATGAGCAGCACCGACAACACCCTGCGGACTGCCCTGGCGGGGGCGCGTGGGTTGGCTGCCGCCCACGGTCGGGCGGGATCCTCGGCCATGTCGAGGAGCCTGGCCCCTATCCCCAGCTGGTCGGGGACCGTCCTCGGCACCTGCAAGGCGGCGGCGACATCCTCGCGCAGGCCGGCCGACGTGCACACGCCGCCGCCCATCTCCAACGCGTCCGAGGACGTGACCATGCCGTCGATGCGCGCCCGCAGCGAGGAGGCGGCCAGCGGCAGGACCATCACGCCCATGAGGAGATCCTCCACCATCTCCGCGTCCAGGTAAGCCTCCTGCGCTGAGGACGCAGCCAGCGCCCAGACGGAGTTCAGGACCCCGAAGAGCGGCCGCCTGAACTCGAGGACCCTCGCGAGCATGCCGAGGGCCGCCATGGCAACGCGCCACGGGACCAGGCGCCGCGGCACCGCGGCCAAGCAAAGGCCCGCAGTGGCCAGCGCCTTGGAGGCGGGGGCCGCGAGGCGCCCGCCGACGCCGTCGACGTCCGCGCCCATGCGCTTGACCCTCAGCTGCCTGCAGTGCGCCTTCTCGGCCGAGAAGGAGGCGCTCGCCCTCTCGCAGCTGGCGCGGACCTGCAGCTGGAGGTCGCTCGGGGCCCCTACGAGCTTGCAGGCCAAAACCTCCTCGACGATCTCCGGCGCATCGAAGTCGTCGATGTGGCCCTGCCACCAGCCAGCGTCCTGGCCGCTGCCAGCCCCGACCAGGGGCCGCGCGCAATCCCTGCGCCACTCCCCGTCTAGGGGAAGCCCCGCCCCGAGGGGCGGCGCCAGGCGGCACAGCCGTCGGTGAATGTGCTGGAAGACGGGCACCGCAAGCGACCAGCCCATGGCGATGACAGCCGAGGTCACGTAGACGACGGGCTCCGAGCGGCCAAACAGCTCGCCCGCGAGCGGCCGCCCCACGGCCATGTAGGGGTGCCACGCGGGCGAGACCCGCCACACGAAGAAGGCCCCCTTCTGGTCGTCGCCCGACCACAGCAGCAGCTTCCCGTCGGGGATCACGACCGCCGTCCAGGACGCCGAGGCCGCGAGCAGCGCCGCCTCGCCCACGTGGGCCTTCAGGAGCGAGTTGCCTGGCACCATGTCGGGGATGAGCCTGGTGACCCGCGTGGCACCAGGCGCTGGGGTGCCCTTCTTCTCCACCGCGAACAGGCCGATCAGCACGGGCTCGCCCAGCACGCGGACCAGCTCGCTCTCCGCGAGCGTGGTGAAGATGCTGAGCGACACGAGGTGCAGCACCAGCTCCTCCCAGTCCGCCTCCGTCTCCACGTTCACGCGGGCCCGCGGCGACGGGTCGGGCCAGTCGGACCGGTCGAGGAGCGCCAGCTCGGGGCGGCGCAGCCAGGCGCCGACCTCGGCGCCAACGAAGTCGGTCGCGTCGAGCGTGGCAGCGCACTCCCGCGTGGGCAGGCCAGGGGCCAGCTCGCAGAGCCGGCAGGGGAGGGCCTTCACGCCTGTCTCGCCCTCGTACGCTGACTCGCAGCCGCCCGCCAGCTCGTCGATCGCAGGGACCACGACCATGGCGAGCGGGTCCTCCGCCAAGGCCGCCGCTCGGCCCTTCAAATGCACGTAGACCCGCGTCTGCGCCTTCGACAGGGTCAGCCTGTGGCGCCAGCCTTCCTGCGAGCGGCCGCAGAACGCATAGTTGAGCGCCACCACGCTGAGGTGCAGCCACGCCTGCTCGCTGACCTCCCGCGCCACGGCGCGGCGGCGGCACCTGCGTGCCTTGGGCAAGGCACTGTGGGTCAGCCAGCGGCCCACCTCCTCGGTCGACGGAAGGGGCAGCGGCAGGGCGTCCCGAACCCTCCTGTTCGACGACCCTCCGCTCCCACAAAATGTGTCCGCACGCATGCTGAACGACCGAGCGAAGTGGCCAAGGCTGCCTGGGTGGCGTCGTACTGCTGCTGCCAGCTGCGCCGCCAGGTCGACCGCGACGATGCTCTTGCCGAAGCCGAGGGAGAGCTCGTCGGCCCAGCACTGCAGCGCGGTGGCCAGCGGGGGCTCCGCGACGCCCTCACCCCCCTCGCATAGGGTGGCACGATCTCCGCTCTCGGTAAACCGAGTTTGGCCTCCGCCGCGGACTCCCCCACCAACACCCCTCGCAGGGCTCGCGCCTTTGATGGAGGCATCGGCCACCCTCCCTGAGGAGGCTCCACCATAGCGCGGGGCAGGCGGCAGGCTGCCGCCGCTCAGGTCCGACGGGGGCGCGCCGCCGCGCGAGCTTTGAAGGCTCGCAGGCGGTGCAGGGTGTTCGTCTCCACTGGCTGCTTCGGGAATTCCTTCCGCATCTCCGCGAAGGACATCTTCCACGGCGGTGGGGCTGCCGACCCCTGGCCAACAGACGGAGGCGCCAGCGGCGGGCGCGCCCCCGTCGGGCCCCCGCCCCATCCCAGCGTCTTGGCGGAGGCCAGGCGCGCGGAGAGCTCGTCCAACCTCATCCCGCCGAGCTGGATGCTGCGGATGAGCTCCTCCTCCTCGCTGCAGATGGCCGTGGGATCGTTGCGCGGCGGGATCAGTGCCAACCACCTCGCCGCCGTCCACGAGCCGTCCGTCGTTGCCACCTGCAGCGCCTTTAGGCGCTGGACGATCAGGTCGCAGGCGTGGGCCACCTTCCCCTGCATCAGCAGGTCCACCGCCTCCGCGAGGGTGCGGAGCACACGGTGCGTCTGCACGCCGATCTCCTTCACCGGATGCTGCGGCAGGTAGATCGTGAGGAGGTACCGCAGCGCGATCGGGCCCGTCGCGTCGACGGCCGCCTCCCCCCTCCTGCGAGTCCAGGAAGTCCGCCATCTGCTGCAGGCTCAGCTCCGTGAGGCGGCCCGTGGAGGCGGCGGCCATCCGACGACAGAAGGCCCTCCTCGTGGCCAGGTCGCGCGGCACCGCCGCGGGGTCCAGGGAGCCGAGGCCGTCCCCGCCGCTGCCGCCAGGGGGGGCCTCCTTGCCCTCGCGGATGGCCTTCACGACCGCCTGCGCCAGCTCCGCCGCGCCGCCGCTCAGACCAGCCCCTGGCGGCGCCCGCTCGGGCACGGGGCCCCCTGACCCCTGGGGGCCCGCGTCCGAGGCGGCCCTCGTGAGCTTCGCGGCGCGCTCGACCAGCAGGTCCCCGAGCGACCGCTTCTTCACAGGCTCCTTGCCAGCCGCCTCTGCGCCGAGGGGGAAACCGCTCAAGCTGACGTCCTCAGCAGCCCGCTTCCCTTCCTCGAGGCGCACACGAGCCCCTGCGAGCTTGCCCCCCAGGCCGCCCGCGGCAGCTGCCTCCTCGTCTGCGGCCAGCTCTGAGCCTGGGCCGCGCGACGAGCCACCTATGCTTCGCAAGTCGTCGAAGAGGGCAGCGCCGGGCGGGGCCCTGGGAGGACCTGCTGCGGCTGGCGGGCGACCCGTCGCTTTGGCCACCGCAGCAGGCCTCGCGGGGGCGGCGGCGGCGACCAGCGGCCCGAGGCATGCTCCAGGCCAAGCCGCCTCCGGGCGCGCCTCCTGGCACTCGACGAACAGCGCCCGCAGGTCCGCGAGGCCGAGCTCCTCCCCGTCCGCCATGTGGACCAGCTCGGTGCACGTCCCCGGCCCCTCCACGACTGAGCACGGGTTCCCCGAGCACACGTGGATGAGCGGGCGTTCTGCCACCGCGCTCGGCTGCCCAGGCTGGCTGGCCCACCAGTCCCAGTAGCCGTCGTCGCGGACAAGGAACTCGGCCTTCGCGAAGCGCCGCGGCGGCACTGCGCTGGAGACCCGCAGCGCCCGCCACGCGAACCGGCACTGCTCAAGGCCGCCTGCTGTGCTGCCCGTGCTGCAGTAGCATTCGCCCTGGGCCACCGCCAACGGGTCGATCGGCACGGGCCCGTCCACCTCGGGCGCGGGCGCGACGGCCTCCAGCGCCTCCCAAAGGTCCTCGTCTCCACCGTCGAGGTCCTCGAAATCCGCCTGGGCCACCCAGCCTCGCGCCTGCCGCGAGTCAGGCCAGCGACCGTCCCCTCCCAGTGCTGCCGCCAGGAGCGCGAGGAGGGCGGATGGCGGGCCTCGCAGCAGGCCTCGCGGCCACCGAGACACTCGTGGCCGTGACCCCGAAGAACGCATGGATCCTAAAGCCCAAACAGGCTACGGACGTGTTGGGGCGGCGCGTCCTGGCCAAAGGGGGGAAGACGGGTATACGCATACAGGGAACCAGTATACGGACATGTATTCCAACTCTTGGTCTGCCGCCTTCGGCGCATCTTCGTCATTGACGCCCATGACTATGCCCTTGTTGAGCAGGATGTCATATTCTTCTGCACAGCGAAGGGCCTCCGTCACTCTATCTCCTGCTTGGCTGAAGGCTGTAACTGTCCGCCATTCCATTTACCTAACAACAAAAACTGTTAGGTTTCTGATGGTTTCAAAAGAAAGCATCATGACTCCCCAGGGGGTTCCGGGCAGGATCCGGGGAGAATCCGCGGAAGTCGTTTTAAGCAAACAGTTACACACTTCGTGGTCTTCGAGGTCCCAGAACTCCATTCCTGGGCCACATTCTGAGTGCCCGGAGCCAACAGTAGGCCACTTCGTGCTCTTCGAGTTCCCAGAACTCCATTCCCGGGCCACATTTTGAATGCCCGGATCCAACTGTAGGCCACTTGGTGCTCTTCGAGTTCCCCGAACTCCACCCCCGGGCCACATTTTGAATGCCCAGAGCTTACTGTAGGCCACTTCGTGGTCTTCGGGTTCCCAAAATTCTATTCCTGGGCATGATTTTGAATGCCCGGAGCCAACTGTAGGCCACTTCGTGTTCTTCGAGTTCCCAGAACTCCACTCCCGGGCCACATTTTGAATGCTGAGGCAGGCTGATGTTCAGGCTGAGGCAGGCTGAGGCTGAGGCAGGCTGAGGCTGAGGCCGAGGCTTGAAGCTGAAGCTGAAACAGGCTGAGGCTGAGGCTGAGGCAGGCTGAGGCTGAGGCTGAGGCTGATGCAGGCTGAGGCTGAGGCAGGCTGAGGCTGAGGCCGAGGCGGAAGGCAGACTGAGGCTGAGGCTGAAGCAGGCTGAGGCTGAGGCTGAGGCTGAAGCAGGCTGAGGCTGAGGCTGAGGCAGGCTGATGCTGAGGCCGGCTGAGGCTGAGGCTGAGGCTGAAGCAGGCTGAGGCTGAGGCATGCTGAGGCTGAGGCCGAGGCTGAAGGCAGACTGAGGCTGAGGCTGAAACAGGCTGAGGCTGAGGCATGCTGGGGCTGAGGCTGAGGCAGGCCGAGGCTGAGGCTGAAGCTGAAGCAGGCTGAGGCTGAGGCAGGCTGAGGCTGAGGCCGAGGCAGGCTGATGCTGAGGCAGGCTGAGGCTGAGGCTGAGGCTGAGGCTGATGCAGGCTGAGGCTGAGGCAGCATGAGGCTGAGGCCGAGGCTGAACGCAGACTGAGGCTGAGGCTGAACCAGGCTGAGGCTGACGCTGAGGCAGGCTGAGGCTGAGGCTGAGGCAGGCTGATGCTGAGGCAGGCTGAGGCTGAGGCAGGCTCATGCAGGCTGAGGCTGAGGCAGGCGGACGCTCAGGCCGAGGCTGAAGGCAGGAGGATGCTAAGGCTGAAGCAGGCTGAGGCTGAGGCTGAGGCTGAGGCTGAGGCAGGCTGAGGCTGAGGCAGGCTGAGGCCGAGACTGAGGCTGATGCAGGCTGAGGCTCAGGCCGAGGCTGAAGGCAGACTCAGGCTGAAGCTGCAGCAGGCTGAGGCTGAGGCTGAGGCAGGCTGAGGCTGAGGCTGAGGCAGGCTGAGGCTGAGGCTGCAGGCAGACTGAGACTGAGGCTGAAGCAGGCTGAGGCTGAGGCAGGCTGAGGCTGAGGCTGAGGCTGAGGCAGGCTGAGGCTGAGGCTGAGGCTGATGCAGGCTGAGGCTGAGGCAGGCTGAGGCTGAGGACGAGGCCGACGGCAGACTGAGGCTGAGGCTGAAGCAGGCTGAGGCTGAGGCCGAGGCAGGCTGAGGCTGAAGCAGGCTGAGGCTGAGGCTGAGGCAGGCTGAGGCTGAGGCTGAGGCTGATGCAGGGTGAGGCTGAGGCAGGCTGAGGCTGAGGTCGAGGCTGAAGGCAGACTGACGCCTGATGCTGAGGCCGAAGCAGGCTGAGGCTGAGGCTGAGGCTGTGACTGGGACTGCCGTTGCCGCTGCGACTGTCATCACGAATGCGACTACGACTGCGAGAACAGCAGAATTCTACAACTGGGTTCTCATCTGAATCCTAAGGGGAATGCTTCCATATGCTCCTACACATCGCTATTCGGTTGCTTTGCCAGGATAACTCAGGCCATCCAGGGGCGCTTTTGCCATCTCCTTTGGCTTCCCCATAGGGGTATTGTTTCTTTGTGTGCGAGACTTTGGATTGTGGATATCCTCCTGCTGACAATTATACTTGGGCAGCTGCAATCTGCCCGCGTGCCCGGGCTGACCACGCTGCTCCTCTTCGCCATTCTCTTTTGTTCTCGGCAGAACTGCTCTCTCGTAATATGCTGTTCTCCTCCACGGAGCGCCCTCTCTTCGTCGTTGCAATATCCCCACTTCCCCCCCCCTCTGATCCAGCCCGCAGTCGGCGCGCGCTCTTTTTTCCATTCGCTGCCTTTGCCGCCTTGATCATTTTCGCGACCTGGCTCGTTTCTCGCGTGCTCTCTGCGGCTTTCGATCTGGTGCCCCTTGTCGCGACGCCCGCAGGGCCACGGTTGGCTGCTGGCCGCGAAGGCCATGGCCGACGCGCGCCCCGCCAGTGCGCCACGCTGCTCACCGAGGCCAGCGCTGAGCCAGGTCAGTTGCGGCAACCGAGGAGGAGCGATGGAGAGAGAAGCGCATTCCCAACAGCCCAACTGCCATGTTAAGCACGTCGTGTCTCAGATATGCTGGCCCCATCTCCCCCGCGCCGAGATGGCGCTGCATTCCCGGCTGCCCTCTCACCTCGTAGTGCCTCGTACTCCGTGCCCATCTCCCCCCATTGACCATGGCCCGTCTTGCATTGCCTGCGTGCCGTGCTGCATGCGAAGTACCCCGCCCACCACCTCACCGCATCTGTAATGGAAAGAGGGAGGGGGAAACGCATCGCGTCGCCAGTGTATATGACGCCTTCTACTGACTGGGCCGGGTAGGCTGGGTGTTGCCAGGCAGGCCTTTCCCCGGTGCGCTTCCATGTAAATTAGCTTTGCGCTCTGCTCGGAACTTCGAGGCCTGTTTGTATATCCTACCGTTCGGGGCCAAACGTCTGAGTTTGGTGAGGCGTTCAACGCCCATGCTGATCGACTCCGCTATTCTTTCGCCAACCGAAAAGTCTCTCTCCCTCGTCTGAGCGCCGATGGGCGCGCCAGCCATGCCCAGCTGCCCAGGGGGGGGGGGGCTGAGGCGGCGCCCTCCTTGCGCGATGCGGACGCTGACGTTGGCGCAGCGCGCGTGCTTGCCCGCGTCAGCCGCGGCCTTGCACTCTGCCCCGAGGTCCGCGCCCCCCATAGAAAACCTCGCAAATGCAACCGCCCCCTTGGACCCATGTGGTGCAACGCTCCGAGAAAACCTCGCCAGGGTCACCACTTCCTCCGTTCTCAGCGACGCCGACGCTGCAGCTCCCGCTCCACAATCCTCTGCATATCCAGCTTGGGCGCCGCGGACTGGGTCTTCCTGCCTCCCGCGCGGGCCATCAGCATACCCCTCGCCATCCTCAGGTTGCGGCGCGCGAACTGGCCCAGCTTCGCCATGGCGTCTTCCATCTCGCCGTTCGGAAGCGCCGCTCTGAAGCTGGACCTTGCCCGAACCCTCCTTCCAGAACTCCTGCTCGTCCTCGTTCGGTTCCCTGCTCTTGCTGTTGCGCGCCGCGTAGCTCTCGCTAACCTCGCGCATCTTGACGGCCCCTGCGATCATTGCCTGGCGGCGCTCGCTGTCGTCCTCCATCGGCTTCAGGCAGCCGCGCGGGGTGTCCATTGCCCTGTCCATTGATACTGGCACTGTCGATTCGTCCTCCTTCTGCCATTCCGACGCTGTCTCCTGGACTCCTTCCATGGGCGCCATTCCCGCGCGCGTGCCCGGCGGCCCCAGCTTGCGCCTATCGCCTTTCTCCCTGGCCAGATTCCCGTAGCTCTGCCCCGCTGCCAGCGTTTGACAAAATGCCAAAGTGCTGACTGGCATGAGGAAGAAGTCCGATGCTATGTGGCTTATATGTCTGATCTCCGCTGCCGAGCGGAGGCCCGTTGGTGCGCCCTTGTAGATCGAACTCCTCGTAATTGTTCGCCGCGCGTGACTGGCGGGGGGGGCGGTCTGCGCTCTCCTCCTCCGCCTTTGCCGTTCCCTCCCATCGCCGCGGCCGCTGTCGTTGGCGGGCTGCCCGCTGCTGTGGCGCTGGCCCCTTCCGCGCGCCGCTGGTCCCTTCGTTTTCCCGTGCCGCGCACGCGGTGCTTCGGCTCTCCTTCCATCTCCGCGCTGGCTCCTCGCGCGGGCAGCGGCAATCTCCGCGGCGGCATCGCCGTCTTTCGCGCATAGCGGCCCAGGACGGCGGCAGCGCGCGCGCATCTGAAAGCCTTCCAAGGATTGGGGCCGGCAGCCGCGGAGGGCGCAGATGAGGGGGGGGGGGGGGGGCTCGCGCGCGGGGCGATTCCCGCAGCTTCTGGTTTTGTAGCACATCCCGTGACTCTCCGCTGCCAACGTTACACGGTCCGTCGTGACTTTTCTCGACGCGAAGGAGATCATGCACCGGGGGCATTGATGCGTGATCGCCAGGCTGGGGACCAGAGGAAGACAGTCGCGCGCCGCTCCCCTGTGCCCTGCCAGCGCCGCCGCCGCAGGAAATTGCGCCCCGCGCACCTGCCCCTCTGCCCAAACTCCCCAGTCGCGCCAAAACTGAGCCACCACCTCTCCGCCCGCCGTAATCCCAGGTAGCGCTGCGCCCCATGCTTCTCCGGCGCGGCGTAAGATGCTGGGGCCCGCCCCCACCCGAGCTTCCCGATCCCTCGTGCCTCTCTTGAACGCTGAAATGTCTGACTGCCTCTTCGGGCACCAATTCCATGCGACCTCGCTGACCTCCGCCAGCGCCTGAAAGTCCCTGACCCCCCGCTTGGCCCAGGGTGTGGATGCTTCGCACAACCGCCCATTTTCCAATCTCCCGGCCTGGCATGGGCCGTCCAACTTTGGACTCGCCAAAAACAGCCGCCAGCGCGCCTGCCAAGATCCTCTGGATATTTCACCCACTCTCTGCGCCACCGTAGCCTGCGCATCTTCAGTGCTGTCGAGCAGCGCGGCATCCCCCATCTCCTGAGAACCGCCTGGTCGGCGTAGCGCCCAGTCGCGCCATCCGCTTCTACCCGGCCCATCCTGCCTCCTGCCAATCTTCTCCGAAGAAGGGCCATCGCACTATCGAGTGCCCTCAAGTGACGCTCTGCCAATACATGTGCCGTCAGACCGCTTAGGCCGCCCCCGAAACGAACGCCTGAAACATACTTCTTTTGTTTGTAGTATCTGAAAACCAGAGGCGCCTGCGCTGTCTGTAGGCCAGTTGCATGGCCTGGCACCTCCTCTTTATCTCTCCTGTGTCTCCTTGATTTCCTGGTAGGTGCGGCCCCAATATTCTCATCTCCCTCATCGGCGTGCCCTTGATCTTCCTCTCTCTCTGCAGCTGCCTCGTGGTCCCATCTCGCCCTGGTCCTCGAAGAGCCACCAGGTGGTTGGTCTTGGCTGGGTTCAGGCTCCATCCTCCTTTCTCCAGTATGCTCTATACGCGCTGTGTGGTGACGTTGATCTGATCTGCAATTATTGCCGCATGGGCTCTTGGGCGATCCGAGATATCCTCGCTTCCGCCTAGACGGCGAGCCGAGAGATCCTCGCTGTCTCCAAGCGCGGCCTGGTGTTCCAAGATTACCTCGCGAATTCCAGTTGCTAGAGGGATCGGACCCGACCAGACCACAGTGTGGATTCTGGTGATGTCGTCCATGAACGCGTTGAACGAGAGGTCGTGACCGTGCTCGCTGACGGGGTCCACTGTACCATGTTTTGTCTGCACCTCGTCCCTCTCTCTTTCTTCCTGGTGCCATTGCCCCGCGTACAGGTTGTAAGTATCATTGATCTGTTTAGGGCACAAGGTGAATCAAACTTGCGCCCTTCTCGTAGTCCTTGCACGCAGCCATTCGTCTGCACATTCCGTACCCACCGACGAGTAACGTAGCGCTTCGACCGCAAATTGTAAATCCTCCTCGTTTGACGTGGCGAAGACAGATGCCAACAGGAGGTTGCGGGTCATACTCGCAAATGCGTTTTTTTGGTCATCGTGGTTGCTGGTGATAGTGCTCACTCCTGCTTTCCAAGGTCTCCATTGTGTAGCTTCGACGCAGGTAATCGCACTATCCCTCGATGTGTCTCTAAGCCCCCCTTGGGCCCAGCAGGGATGCTTCGGTGTTTTCCTGTAGTGGATACGTTTGTGGAAAGCCAATCCCATTGAACAGCATGCGTGCGTGACTATTTCCCCTCCAATCCTTTTTTCGATTGCCCTTTTCCGCAGAGGAAAAATATACCTGTGGCAATCCAATGGTGTAGCTTGTGGTTGGCGACACTTGATGAGGATGTTCTCCAGCTTGTTCCTGCACTTCATGCTTGCTTCTTTCCCCAACGCCGAAGATCCCAGCCCAACCTTCTCGTATCTCCCTAGGTGGTACTCTTTCTTCTCTGTCGCCCTTAATGAGGAGGACGAGGGGAAGAGGAGGAGGAGGAGGAGGAGGAGCAGGAGGAGGACGAGGAGGAGGACGAGGAGGAGGAGGAGGAGGAAGAGGAGGAGGAGGAGGAGGGGGAAGAGGAGGAACACACGGGTTGGGGGGGGATCCGATGGAGGGGGGGCAAGCCGCACCGGGCCCGCGGGGGAAGGGCGCATCGGGCACGCCGGGCCCAGTCACTCCGCCAGGTCACGAAGATGGGCCTGCTGCGACCACACGAAGCCCAGAAGCGCACGGCACGCCGCCTCGTCGCCCGGACTGAGGGCGCACAGCCTGTCCACCACCAGTCTGGCGATGCCTCGCCGACGGGAGTCCTGCGCGTCCGCCTTGGCCGCGGCCTCCGCGCAGGGCCCGCTGCGAGGCGGGGGCACCTCCACTCCACGCTCGAGGGATTCCAAAATCTCCGTGGCGCGCTGCAGCACAGACGCGTCCATCCCGGCCTTTTTCGCGCACTCGATCCCGAAGCTCCTCGCAGCCACGCCGGGCACCAGCTGATAAAGGTACGCCACGCCGCCGCCGCCCTCTTCTGGTGGCAGAACCCGCATGCTGCAAATCTGCAACCCTGGCTCGTCCTGGGCCAGCAGGCCGAAACGGAACACCTCGGTGAAGTGCGTTGTGATGACAGCCTTCGGCCCCCTGCTCCAGCGGCAAAGGTGCCTTACTGTCGCTCCGAGAAGCGCCACGCCGTCCGCTGGGTGCGTGCCCTTGCCGAACTCGTCCAGCAGCAGCAGGGAGGAGTCAGTCGCGTGCTTGAGCGCGAGCGACACCTGCGTAAGGTCAATGCCGAACGAGGAGAAGCGCACAGCCGCCCCCTCTGCGCCCTGAATCCTGGAGAGCAGCAGGTCGCAGAGACCGAGCTCGGCCTCGTCTGCGGGCACGAAGCAGCCAACCTGGGCCATCAACACTATCACCCCGACCTGTTTCAAGTAAACCGATTTTCCAGCCAGGTTTGCGCCTGTTACTACCTGGACACGCGCCGGCGCGACGCGGGGAGCGGCGCCGTCGTCGCCCTTGCGTGCAAGAGGCAAACCCAACTCCGTGTGGTTGGGCACGAAGCCGTGGTGCGCCGCGAGCAGCGACTCCACCAGCGGGTGCCGGCCCTGGACGATGCGCAGCACACCGGGGTCCCGCGAGAAGGCGGGCCGCGTCCAGCGGTGCTCCTTCGCCGCCGCCGCGAAGCCCGCGAGCACGTCGAACTCCGCGAGCAGCTGCGCTGCGCGGCAGAGCCGCGGCTCCAGCCGGCGCAGCCGCTCCACCACTCCGAGCAGCAGCTCCAGCTCCAGCTCGCGCGCCGCGACCAGGAGGTCGCCGATCTCGGCATCCAGCCGAGCTGCCATGCGGCACTTGTAGAAGAGGCGGCCGGAGCCCGCAAACTGGTAGCGCCAGTCCTCTGCCGGAGCCGGCGCATCGCGCTTGAGCCGCTCCATGGACTCTGCATCGCCATCCCCGCCACAAACCTCGTCGGCAAGTGGGTTCGGCACCGATGCGTGGAAGCCGATCTGCGGAAAGTAATGGAATACCAATACGTCCGCGGCCCAATCTCCGTCCGGGTGCTCCTGGAGAAGCCGCCTCCGCTCCAGCCTCGCCACCTCTGTGAGGTGGACATCGATGTTCGCGTACTGCTCCCTCACAGCATCCAACTCCGTGTCGACGCCCTCGCAAATGTGCACCTCGGCACCGCCAGCCGGCTGCCCGTCCAGGTCCACGAACCTGCTGAGCATGTTGCCAGCGGCCGCCACGTCCGCCGCGAGGCCCTTGGCGCCGCACAGCGGCGCCAAGGCCGCCACGGCCCTGTCTCTGCGAACGAGCGCGAACGCAGCAGACATGTGCTCCAGCGTGGTGGTAAGCCCGCGCCAGTCCTGAGCGTTGTCGAAGTGATAGTTGCTGAAGATCCGCCGCAGCAGCGCGGCGAGGTCCCGCACCTCGCGGAGCTCTCGGTGCAACTCGCGCAGCAGCTCGTCGTTCCGCGAGCGATGCAGCACCTCCACCGCATCCAGCCTGTCCGACAGGAGCCCAAGGTCTCGACTGGGCTGCAGCAGCCAGCGCCGCAGCGCCTGGCGGCCAGGTACCGAGGCGACGAAGGGCTCCAGGAGCCCAAACAGCGACACGCCCTCCTTGGGGCGGCCCGGCCCTCGGATCATGGAAGGGTGGCGATCTTCTTGGAAGACCTGCAGGGCGCTCATGGTCTGCTAGGGGAACGAACAATGACGTAAACATACAAACTCGGAGATCCGCGCGGATTTCTCGGATCGACGCTGGGAGCCCCTGGCGGCGCCTCCAGCGCCGCCCCTGGCGCGCTCAGCAAAACGCCAGGGAGGGGGGTCCAGCGCCGATCCGAGAAATCCGCGCGGACCTCAGAGTTTTTATGTTTATGTCAATGCTCGGTCCCCTTTCTGCGGGTCAACGTAGAGCACGCCGTCCAGGGAGAACAACCGGACGCTGTGGACGTGCAGCGGCTGCTCTGGGCCGTCGAGGTCCCCGAGCTGCGCGCGGTGCTTCTCCATGAAGCGAACGAGGCCGCCCGCTGCCCGCACGAGCTGGTCGCTGTCCAGGTCCAGTGTGGCCTGCAGGGCTGGACCTAAACGTTATTTTTCGTTGTGTCGTCGTTTTGCTGTTCGTTTTGCTCTACCTGTTTTTCTGTACCTCCCTGCCAAAACGAAAAACAAAGCACAGCCGAAGTCCAGCAAAGCAGCGTTTAGGTCCAGCCCTCGTGGCCTGGCCCCTCAGCGCGCGCCCGTCCGGCGCCGCCGAGTCCTAAGACGAAGCCAGGGCGAAGATAAAAGCGGGTGGGGATACATCGAGAGAATCTCTGAAACCCTGCGGCTCTGGAGGATGTCTCGGGCGCCGCGGCCTTCGCGGTACGTTCCGGAACCTCAGAGCGTTCCGGAACACTCGGAGAGCGCTCTGGAACGCTCTGAACGGATTTATCCTCGTCCTAGCCCCGTCCAATGTCCTCCCCAGTGTGGCCGTGCTCCCACAGGGACAGGAGCCGCTGCCTGCAGGCCTCCGCATCGAACTCGGCACCTTTGAGGACCGCGACCGGGAAGGCCTCCTCCGCCTCCTCCTCCTCCTCGGCCCGCCCGTGCTGCGAGGGCACCAGAGGCCTGCCCGCCTGCGCCAGCAGCTCAGGCGGGGACCTCGCCGACACGACGCACAGGCCGCGGCGGCCGCCCCCCCCCAGCAGGGCACACTTCAGCCGGTGCAGCTGCTCGAACGTCGGGTCGACCACCTCCGTGACGCGCAGCACGCGCTCTGGGGCGTCCAGGTCCACGCAAGCGAGCCCGATGCGCCCCCCGCGGCCCGCGAAGGCTGCGAGCAGCACCTCGACGTCGCCCGCCCCACCCTGTGGCACGGGGCCGCCGCCGTCGCCGCCGTCGCGGCCGCCCTGCGAGGCGGCGCCGCTCGGCGGCTCGGGCTCGGGAGGCGCACCCTCTGCGGGGCGGCGTGGAGGCCCTCCGCTCCAGTCGTCGTGCTCGTGGGCATCCTCGGCGCCCGCGGTGGCCGCGGAGGCCGAACCCGCGCCCGCCTCGCCGCCGGCGCCGCCGCTGGACCAAAGGCCAGCTAGCAGGGGGCGGCGTCTCTTCACAGGTGGCGCCGAGCCTGCGCTGTCCATCGAGCCAGGGGCCGCGTGGATGTAGGCGGTTTCCCCGAAGGGCTTGAGCGACCCGTCGCAGCCCGGTCGGAAGTGACGAGAACGTGAACATTTGCGCAAGACCTATGGAAATCGTACGCATATGCTATTATTGGGCTCTTTCTTGGGGTTCTCGGTGTTTCAGGGTCTCTTGGGGTCGCCCACGACCCCGGGGGAAACCTCGCACGTGAATGGTGGGAACGTGGATCCTGTCAACAAGGCACCTGCGTCACTGTTGCGCGACAGCTTGAGCCAAGCAAGCACCGTGCGAGCAGCGGCGGCCACAGTCAGCTCCGCAGTCACATGGCGTTCGAGAGTCGGGTGGGGGTGCTGCTCCTCGCCAGCGTGTGTCAGTGACTATGTTGGAGCACTGTATACCCCAACGCATGCCAGAGGAACATGTGGCTCAATAGAGTGGGGTAAGGAAACCTTCGATAAGGAAGCCAGGGTCTGGAGGCCGGTGGAACTCCAATCGAGGCTTGGCCATGGATATCACCACCGCCCTCATCAGATCAGGAATCCTCCAGGGTCTGAAGCCTAATGAGCGCATTCGTTAACCTACGCCCCCACCGTAGGTGCACGCGGCATCTGTCACAATGCCTTCTCGGCGCGAAGCAAAACTTCGAGTGAACGACGACTCGTTTCACCCAAATTAATCAATCTATGGCTGGGCGTGTCCCATGGCATCATCAGTGAGACACCACGCCCTAGTTGCACAGTGACACGTAGGATCGTCTCCCAGTGGGATGCACATCATTTTACGCCTCCTCTGCTCTTCTACAAGTAATGCTTGGATAGATCAAGACTGTTGCCTCTGCCTCCGATGGCCCAAAGAAGTAGAACTCTGTCAGCTCGAGTGGCCCAAGTACCCACCCCACACCCTCCATGTCCCGGGTACCGCCAACACTTCCACAAAACTGTACCAGCTTGAGCCAGTTGGCAAACTGGCTCGCTAAATTTAACATACGGCGGGGTTCATTCTGTAGCGTTGCCAACTTGCGGCAGTCACACACCGTGTTGGCGGGCATGGTGCGACCCCTCTCGGGAGCCTAGGGGGGAGGCTCCCAGGGGGAGGGCCCTCGGGAGCCCCCAAGCTCCCCCCGCTTCGAGCCCGCAGGGGCCTTCGGGAGCCCTCTGTGGGAGCCCTCGGGGGTGGGGAAGTTCCTCCCAAGTGACACCCCGGGTGGGGAACTCGGGGGGAGGGGAACTTGGGTGGGAACTTGGGGAGGGAACTTGGTGGGAACTTGGGGGGGACTTGGTGGAGGGAACTTGGGGATGGAACTACTTGTGGGTGGGAACCTGGGGGGAAGCTTGGGGGAGAACTTGGGGGCAGGAACTTTGGGGTGGCGACTGTACCGTGAAGAGCCCGGACCGTCCCGAGAACACGAAACACGCTCCCCAGAACAGCCCCCCGTCAGCAGAACAGCCGACAGCGCTAACTAGAACACACTCTGCGCCTCCGCGAGGACAACCGCCCAGGACCGGCGCGCGTGAAGAGGATAAAGGAAACGCGGGAACTCCGACGACGACACGAGCGACGACGACATCGACAACGACGACGACAACGACGACGACGACGACGACGACAACGACGACACGGACGACGACACGGGCGACGACGACGACGACGACGACGACGACGACAGACGACGACGACGACGACGACGACGACGACGACGACGGACGACAATGACGACGACGACAATGACGACGACGATGACGACGATGACGACGATGACACTGACGACGATAATGACGACGATGACGACGATGACAATGACGACGACGACGACGACGACGAGGACGACGACGACGGACGACGATGACGACGACGGACGACGACGACAACGATGGCGACGATGACGACGACATCGACGACGACGATGACGACACCGACATTGACCACGACGATGAAGACGGCAATGACGGCGACGACGATGGCAGAGGACGATGTCGCCCACGGACGACGACGGTGAAGACGACGACGACGATGACGACATCAATGACGACAACAATGACAACGACGACAATGACGACGACGGTGAAGACGACGACGATGACGACGACGACGGACGACGACGACAACGACGAACGACGATGACGACGACGGACGACGACAACGACGGCGACGATTACGACGACGGCAACGACGGCGACAATGACAACGACACCGACGACGACGACGACAATGACGACGTCAATGACGACGACAATGACGACGACAATAACGACGACGACGACGACGAACGATGCCGCCTACGGACGACGATGACAACGACGACGACGATGACGACATCGACGACGACGGCAATGACGGCGACGACGACGACGACGACGACGACGACGACGTGGGTGGGGGGCCCTCGGGAGCCATCAGGGGGGGATTCCCCTCCCAAGTTCCCCCCAAGCTACCCCTGGAGGGGAGGGAGGAGTTCCCCCCCTCTCAATTTCCTCTCCCCCCAAGTTAACCCCGCTTCGAGCCCGCAGGAGCCCTTCGAGCCCTCGGTGGGAGCCCTCGGGAGCTCTCGAGGGGAGCTCGGGAGCCATCAGGGGGGGGGGGGCTGTGTGAAGGGGCTGTGCGGCCCCATGTCGGCCATGACTGCCGCTTCAAGACAGAGCCATTGTGACTCTTGTGACGCGAAAGAAATGGACGTCGCCATATGTTTTGGCGTGTTTGCCCCGCAGATCTCAATCCAATATGTGTTACATCTGTATATTGCTGCTTCGAATCACTGAGCTGCACCGTGCCATCGTTGAGCTACATGCGGCGGCAAGTCCCTTCGGGAGCACCCATGCCCGCCCTATCCCGATTTCTTTCCACTCTTCGTCCTCCCACTCCTATATTGAGATTGCTCATATCAGCTCGTACTCTGAACGCTGAACGAGCATAGAGACTCTGCGGCCTCGCCATGGCGCCACCGGCAATCATGCTCACCATCTTTTTCGGGAAACGGGCGAGCATAATCTCACGCCTCATATCCCAGAGACTCGTCGGCAAGCGCCGTCACTGCGCCCAGAATATTCGCCGACCCCTTGGGATCCCATCGACGTGTGCGATTGCAGCTCCTCCCCTGGATCTCCTCCCCCGGGCGCCTGGTCACGCAAAATTGGAAAGGGGAACACCAAAGGTGCCCAGGTTGTCCATGTGTCATCTGGCTACAAGGTGCTCTGAGATGGCATCAGACGAACCAAGATGGCGTCAAGACGCTCTTAGATCGCGAAAGATGACGTTGGTCCCACGACGGGCACAAAACAGCCCAAGAGAGGCCGAAGATGTCCGAGAAGGCCCCAAGACACCTCAACGTGGGCCCCAGATGGCACAAACGAAAACCCAAGACAACCGAGATAGGCCCGAAACGGGCCCACGAGATCTCCAAGATGCCCCAGAACGCCCCAGGAGCTCCATGACGGCCTCAAGACACCCCCGCACGAGGCCCCCAACACGGCCCTCCAGCTGCCACAATGCAAACCCAATGCCGACCACAAGGGCTTCAGCAAGACTGCCACGCGCCACGTCCGCGCGACAGGGACCCGCACGGCAGGGCCCCACACGATGGGGTTCAGACGACAACGCACCACACGAGAGGGTCCCACGCGATTTTGCCCCTCGCGATTGGGCTCCACTCGACTGGGTCCTTTCTGTGACCACACGACGGGGTCTCACGCGACAGAGCCCAGGAGCACGCGCCGTGCCCCAAACCGATCAGGCATCACGCGATTTGGGCCCCACTCGATGGGTGTCCGCGCGATGAGTGTCTGCGCGATGGAGCCCCTTCCCCTGCTCCCGCTTGCTACTTTCCTGCTCCGTGTTTGGTCGTCGACGTGTAATGGCGCGCAGAGCTATGCTATGCTCGCCGCGTGGCGGAATTCTCGCGGCCAGCCCCGCAGCTCGCGGCAGACGCACCGAGAGGGCCGGGCCTCAAAACGAGCCAAGGGGCCGAGGCGGCGGGAGCTCGCGAGGGCAACGACCGCCACGCGAAACGAGATTGTAGTGTGAGGAGCAGGGTGAGAGAGAGGGGCCGCTGGGCGCCACGCCCCGCCGACACACGCAGGAGTGACCCCTGGGCAAGAATGGCCTTCAATGCGCGGCTCAGAAGGGGGACGCGGGGTGTCCAAACCTGGGCGCGCAAGCCGCTGCTACCGCGTCGCGCTAAACGATCGGGGGACCCCATTGGGCCCGCTCCAAAGGTCACTCTGGCGAAAGGTCGCTCTTACGCCTAGTCGAACGTGAGGTCTTGGGGATCTACTGCCCCGGTCAATCCTAACCTGGATCAGTCAGGCTTTGCAGGATCCTGCAAGATCCTGCAGGATCCTGCACAACCCTGACCGTGCAGGATCCTGCAAACTCCGGCGCTCTGGCTGATCCCCGTTTGCACTGACCCCCGTCTGAATGCTCCCGAGGGTCTCACAGAAGCAACCAGCTGGGAATCACTGAAGCCCCAACACACCGCATCCCTTCTGCGAGGTGCTCGGGGAAGCAGGTAGAAGGGCGACTGGGAGGAGCCCAAATCTATCTGCGACTGCCGACCCCATTTCGTATAACAAACCGTGCGCTGTATTGAACTGATGGGTCTCGAATTGCCCGAAGACGCTCTGGAAGCCGAAATGGCATCCCGTCGCCGTCGCGTATCTGTTATGATGCCGGAGGCGCGGGAGTATGTAGGAGGCGCCCCCGCCCGTCCTGGCACGCCCACAACGCGAGGTTGTAGTTCCAAGCGTCGTGCGGCACCTGGTGCAGCTTCCCGTCCTGGAAGAGCCACAGGGTGGCCTCTGCGCCGACAAGGGGGGCCTGGCTTTACCGAAAGTAATTGCGGGACCCCATACAAACTGACGTCCCTAAAAATCGTGATGGGCACGCCCTCATATGTCCTCGATGAAGAAAAGGCTTCGCCAAGAACATCCCGCAAACATGTTGGGCTTGGAGTCGTGGGTCCTCGGTGCAGCTGGCTTGATCCTGCGTCGGCCAACACTGGCCTACGCCACTTCCCCTTGCAGGGAAGAGCGGGC